GGGGGGGGGGGGGGGGGGGGGGGGGGGGGGGGGGGGGGGGGGGGGGGGGGGGGGGGGGGGGGGGGGGGGGGGGGGGGGGGGGGGGGGGGGGGGGGGAGGCGGTGTGCGCGGGTTCTCGTTTGTTTCGAGGTTCGCTTTTGGGTCGAAGAAATGTACAGCAGAAGTAAACGGGAAAAGACGTCTAGCGAGGCGCGTGATGCAACAAACATCTGCCGGTTGAGGGACACACAAAAGTTGTGGTTGCCGCATAACGGTTAATGGTAACGGAGACACTTACAAGCTTGAGCGTGTACACGCCGGTGACCGCCAAAGTCATGAAAAGCACCCGGGCACGTACATACGTATGCAGCGAGACAGCAGCGATCGCGTGCAGCAAAACAAAAACAGTCACCCGGTTTCGATTGGTGCGTGTTCGGCCTCCGACCAAAAACACATAAGCATGTCCTAAATCAGGGATACGACAAGGGCAAAAAACACCTCGCGGCCACCTATCTCACCGTCTCGAGCGCACGCTCCCGCCAGACACCATCGAACTCGCTCTCGCGCGCGGTGCGTTGCCCCTTCGCACGGTTCGCCAGCAGCCCGGTGCCGACTCCGCCGACGGGCGTTGAAACCTCCGAGTGCATACGCTTGTAGCACGGAGCGAGTAGGTTGAACGTGGTCAATCGGAACTCCATGCCCCGGGCCACCGCATCCTTCGACTCCCCTGCTGAGCGTGCGGTTTCTTCTGAGGGTGGTGTTACCCGGCACTGCTGCTGCTCCTGCTAGTGTCCAACCATAGCGGGGGACACCGTTGCGATGGGATTTCGTGAGATGGACGAGTGTGCAAGCACGAGCACTAAAGCAGGAGCAATAGTTCGTGTTGAACAGGCGTAAGACAAACAAAGTTAGAAACAACGGCAGGGGTAGCTCGTACGCCAAGCGTGCTGTGCCAACGCCGTTGCTGCTGTTGGGCGTGTCCACAGTAACGACCAACGTGTTTCTCTCATCAGCACCGCAGCGGCGTGTTGAGAGTCTACTATAAATGTCAAGTGTTTTTCTGAAGCTGCTGCCAAAATTGCCAAGTCCTATTGTTTAAGTTGCCGTCTTCAAACGAAAAGCCTCTTCGACACCTCAAATCCGTGCTTCCTTCCCTTGATGTATTATGGTTCTACATTTCTATGTTCAGACTTGAGGGAAGAGAAAGTAACTTCAGAAGCTACAGGTTATGCAGTTCGTAACCTCGTACGTACTGGTCCACGACTGTGACCAACACATGGTCTCGGATCTCTCCGTACAGATAAACTCGCAATACACATCGCGCGAGGTCGTCCGAGTAGGCACATGAGAGTGGAAGGGCCTGCTCAACCCTATCGCGTAAATTCATGCCAAGCAGAGCAGAAAGTGAGGGTGGAGAAATAAATAAGTGTTTGGATTATTAACCTTTCCTCCAGCGGCTGGTGCGCCAAACGAATACCAAAACTTGCAGATCGGTAGAACTCAATCAAGAACACGACGGAAAACACACACACACAGCCGACATCCCACACCAAGGTACAGAACAAATAACAGGACAGGAAGTACCCATGCGCACGTCTAGAACAGTGCTATGCATAGGAAGGACGCTTTAGCGGTGGACAAAAAGTATTGAAAGTGACTACGCACTCCAACTACGTCAGCGAGGTGGCCATCACGAGGACGACATGCGTGTGCATACGCACCTGCCCCTCGGCGGAACTATTGAGGAAGCTGGTGCATGTGTGGGACATATCGTATGTCCCTCCTACTCGTGTTGACCAAAGGATTCTAGTGACTACGAAATACGAATAACACAACGCCAACCCGGCTGATTGTGCTCGGGGTCCTCAGCAGTGCATGCATGAACACACGCCAAAGCAATGAATAATTGCACATGTGGCATGTGTTCGAAAGCCACTGCCGCACTTCTTCGAGGTGCTGTTGTTGATGTTCACGCCGAAAAGCAACTTCGCCACTTCAAGTGAAGCTCAAGTGCAATTGCAGAACAAGCAACCTGGCGAGGTCCAACATTCGCTTGTGGGCGCGTAAAACCGCTCCTCCTTTTCTTTTTCCAGCCAGCGATTTCTCGCGGTGCCCAGCAACGAACCGACGTTGCGCCCCGCTTGAGGGCCAATGACTGAAGATGTGGGTTGAAGTTGGACCAACGGCGACTTCAAACTGCTTCTTGACAAACGTCGCCTCTACGCACAGTTAGCCGACAAATACCAAATAACCAACAACCAGACGAACCGCGATCAGTTTGTGAGAAAAAGAAGCCTTAAGCGGTGTTGATTTTTCGCTGCTTGGTACCCGTCTACTTCGGCGCGCAGCGGGGTACACTAGGCGCGCGCGAGAGCGTCTCTGCGGCAGTTAGTAGGGACTTCGGCGGCAAAGCGCCTTGTTTCTGGCCGAATGGAACACCCAGGAAGCACCTGTTGTGGCTTGATCTCTGCCCGCTACGACTGCTGTACGTACGCGCACGTGTTTACGGGGTAGCGAAAGGGAACGGGATGGCCGCTGCAAGCCCCGGGGTGATTACACCCTGGCCTAGAACGCGGATAGAATCATGCTCTTCGTCGTGTTGGTAATCTTTGTGTACGTTGTGCGTTGAAATTGCTTGGCCTCGCGCGTCGAGTGAGAGCGTTGGGCTGTGTCCATCGAGGTCTGCTTCGTCGATCTCCGATATTCGGTGTATTTTCCCCGTTGCGACGCTTGGTTGCGGCATTGGCGTTCTTTCATGTTTTGCATGCCTTAGCGGTTAGACCATTGACCAAGCGTCCTCGAGAGAACAGAGCATTGTCCCACAGGACCGATCACCGATGGCCAATCGTTCCTTCCTACTTTGCCAAAGGTGGCTTCAAAATGCCGTCCCTATTCGTCTGTCTATCCTCACGATATCCCTTTCCCGCCGTTTCAAACCACTTCCTGCTCTGGTACATTGTACTGGTTGGGGCATTGGGGGCGATTGTTCGTGGTGTTCGTTTCGGTTGTCTCGACTCTCTGGGTCTCCTTGATTGTTCGCAATATGCTGCACTGTTTTTGCGATGATTATCCTGGGGTCGTGGGAGGCATCCCCGTCAGTGAGAAAAGTGCTGCTGCGGGTGCAAGGAGGTCTAGAGAGATCGGAGCGGTTTCGCACGTCAAAACAACCGCGGAGCGATGCAAAATAGAGAGGGAGAGGGACAAGTTCGCCCCGACTGCTGCTGTGGATATGTCGTGGTACGCCAACATTTCAAGGCGTACAATAGGTGATGGTGCTTTGCGGGAGCCCAACCCGACAAGGCAGCGCCCTCACGCCCTTGGGGAAGGAACCCCCGGCTAGCCACAGGTACCCAGCCGTTCCAATCAATCGACGCACCGTGTCGCAAGCTGTCTCTTGCCGTCGAATGCGGTCCAAATTTTACTGGAGTCGCCAACACGATTATATTTTGAGCACTTTTTAAACTATTTTGAGTCTTACCTCCAGCTGTTCGTGGGTCCTCGCTTCCGATGACGAGGCCTGCCACGCCCGCTGCAAGGTTCGCCGGCACTCCGCCGAAGATGCTTCCCCTAGGATCATCCTGTTTGCCCTCGCCGCAGCTGCCTTCGCTGCTGGTGGTGCTCGGTGCTCGTTACGGCGATATACGCTGCTGGTTGTGCTGCTGTGGGAGGCCTTATCGGCACCCGATCGCAATCCCCCTCCTGCTCCTGCTAAGTGACGCAACAACGCTTGTGGTACGAAGGCGTAGTTGACTGTGGGCAACAGGGCCGCTCCGACAAGCAAGAGAAGGTGCCTGCAACTGGTCTTGAGTAGTCTTCTTCTGCTCGTGCGGAGGACGTGCCGCTGCTGCTGCTGCTGCTGCTGCTGCTGCTGCTGCTGCTGTTGCGGTCCGGAATGCAAAGCAGACCAGGACATGTCGTTTACGCCCCCGCCGCGTGTTGCCTTTTTCTGCCTGTTCGTGGAAGGCGTGCTCAGTGGGTTCTTGCGTATATTGATCGATCCGTCAACAGCAGGATGCCTCGACTGCTGAGATTAGAAGCAACCTCTCTATCGAATTGAACGATCGACGCTACGACATCGACGCGACGACGCGACGCAACGGAGCACACGCGTCATCACCATGAAGAGAAAAATTAATTGCACCGCCTCATTGCCCCCCCCCCCCNCCCCCCCCCACTGTACAATTATTATCATTCACCCATATTGATGGGGTATATACCCCATTGACAGCAGTTGTCGACAGTTATTGAAGCTAGCGGCACCCTCTCAGTGAGTGACGAATGACTGACGGTTGTGTCGCTTGTTTGTGTCGACAGCTGCAGAGACCACCAACGCGAGGGAACCGGGGTGGGGGTGGGAAAAAGGCCCAAAAAAACTGTTCCACTTCACCATGCACCAAGCGCAGCATCGATCTTTGTGGGTCCCGGTGGCAACGACGGTCGCTCTCGCTCTCTGTGTCACGAACGTACGACCTGGAATGGCTTTCGCGGCGAGAGTTCTGGTTACTGGCGGCGCTGGCTACATCGGATCCCACACATGCGTGGAGCTCATCAAGGCCGGCGAAAAGGTAGGCTGGGAGTTTGTGCACATGCGCGTTCGTTTGCGGTCGACCAAGCCGTTGCTTCGATTAACTGCTCACGACAACAACATGTGAACAAGATTGATTGTATTCACGTTGGTGGAAGACAGCTAATCTCCCAAAGCTGTGGGTCGATGACCCCCAACATCAAGTTGCAGGACGACGCCGGCAGGACGACGGCGTCGTCTCAGAGACAACACAGCAGCCAGTACGACCACTGCTGCCAGTATTCCAACGAACAACAGAAGAAACGAACCTCCCCGCGGCGTTGCTTTGTTGGGTTGGTACTAGACTTAAAGCAGTACAGCAGGAGACCAGTGTTCGTTTTTCGTTCACACACACGTACCCGAGCTTGCTGTTGGTTCGTTGGCTCATGCCGAGCGGCGTTTGCTGAGACACTCCTGCTCACAGTAGTTATTTTGTCATCACTTCTGTGGGATCGAGGTGGCCGGAAACCGGCCACGCCGCGGTCGCGTCTGCTGTAATACTGCTGTAGTTGCAAAACTTTGAGTTTTACTGCTGTAGGTTCTCCCTCCGACGAAACTCTGTTGTAATCTTTTGTACCACGTAGATCTTGTTTACCAGGCTGCCTCCATTGAACACTACATGTCATGCGATGTTCTCTTTTCTCCCTGCAGACGGTCCGGCTACACGCTGAACACGATGGGTGTTTTCTTCATTCTAGTACCGACAGCGCTCACCGACTGACCAATGAAACGACGCCAGTCTCAGTGAGGTTGAAAAGTGTGTGCGAGAAAAGCGCATCGCACGAAGAGCGAGCAGACCCAAGGGCGGGAAAGCAGGCATTGCTGCTGCTGTTGCTATTGTTGGGATGGTTTAGAGGCGTCGCCTCGCTCTCTTTGTCACCCCCTCGAGCGGTGGCGGTCTAGCAGGTATCTACCCGCCAGTAATTTTTGCAACCTGTTTGTTTAGTGACTCTTCCTATCTAACCGATTTCACGCCCGCTGATTGGTTCGGCATTGGTACCTAGCCTTGACCCGTGGTGCGGGTTAGGGTCAGGGTTAGGATAGATGTAGGGTGAGGAACCTAGCCTTGCAAAGTGCAACATCGGTTAGACCTAAAGAGTCATAAATAGAGTGTAAATAGAGCTCCTACCCTCACCCGAAGTTCGACTGAGCATGTGGTGCCAGTTGAACATGTCGGAGATATGGTGGCGACGCGTGTGCAATGGCTGTGTTCAAAGACTCACGTTAGCAACTAGAAAATTTCAAGGGTGTTCTCAGAAAAGTATTCTCACACTGAAGTATTTTTGAGAAAATACTCAACCTCGAGTATAGCCCCTAATTTTAAGCATTTCAAACATGCTCATCGATACTCCTGAGGTTCAGTGCGTGTTTCAAATCTACTCGGGCGTATTATTCTCAAATGCTTTACTATTTTGCTAAACCAACAGTGTTTTTTCAATTCTTCTGACGACTTCGAAGCTGTAGTAAGTATTTCGAGAGTATGAAAATATGCGCGTACTCACGCGTTAAGTACTTCTGTTTCAAACCCACTCAGCCGTACCCACCAACCGGTTTGTGTCTGAGTTCGGCGTTTATTATATTAGTAATCCGTTTATTAGAAAGTAAACATAACCTCACAGAAAGACGACCCGTTCGAGATATAACCTCAGTCGAAAGGGATGTGGTGAAGTCTTTTCAGTAAGTGGATTGAAACCGACTGGAGACTGGACTTCTTTTGAGTTTGTGTAAGCCTTACACTGAGTTATCAGTGATGCCAGTTGGTGCTGAGAATAAAAGCATCTGTACAGGCGGATACATTCTTAACATATCCCATGTAGTTTTCTACTTGGTCGACGACAGAACTGTCGGGGAGAAGCTCTCCGTTATGTCATGTGTTGTAGAATGTGGCCTTCACGGGGAACATGGAACAGCAGTGTCGGTTGACAACTTGCTGTTTTTAGAAAGTACTACTGCTGTTTCAGACGATTTGAATCTAGACTCCAGTGTGTACCAGTACAGCAGTAGGACTGTTGTACGCCTATCACAATAATTGTTGAATTTTTATGAGTTTCAAAAGTTGGAGTTGTATTGTAGATTTGAGTAGTAGTTGTTTCCCGCTCATTGTGAAATCTACAATTTTATGTTGTTCATCGTGTGTGATGTGTAGGTGAAACGCGTTGAAGAGGAGGGGGGTACGTAGGATAGTAGTAGGAGTGATATTGGTTTGCAGCGATGGAGTTTAGTCCTTCTTGTGTGTCATGTATCAGCGAGGCAAATGAATAGGCGGCGGTCAGCACAGCAGTAGAGTTGCAGTCAACGTAGGTAGAACTTCCCTGTTTTTCTTCGAACGGTGCGTGTCGAAGAGTGTTGTCGAGACCGTTTGTAGCGTGTCTCGGCCATGTTGATGAGCATCCTTCATCAAGGGCAGCAGTAGCAGCAACGAGTAGTAGTCGATTGTAGTGGATCTTCACTGGTTCGCGACGAAAGGTACACACGCGTTGTATCCAAGTACACAACTGGGAGTTGATACGCAGCAGGAGAAGGTGGTGTCAGCTGTGAGGTCAATGTGGGTGAGCGGCTTTGCACGAAACTCGATACAGCCTTCCCGCCTTACCTCGAGTTATAAGGATAGCTATGTATGTGGTACCACGGCAGGGATCCGAATGCCGGCTGCTCCGAACACAATGAGAGGTTGGCGGTAGGGATAAAGCGTGAGAGTGTGGAAAGGGGGGCTCCCCTGACCGTCTGCTCAAATGCAGATTTGGAGACCATCGACGTGTCGTATTTTCACCTGGTCAAATGACGTCATTTGATGTGAGATTTAGAAGAAATTTACAAGAAAAAATTTGATCTGGTCAGGTGACGTCATTTGATCTGAGAATAGAAGATTTTGTTTCATCAGATTTTTCAAGGGACACTGGGCACTGTGTTCCCCCTTTTGAATGTTTTTCTAAACCCATCCTTGGAAGTTTTCCCAAGATGGGAATCCCGATTTTACGCCTTTTACATCCAAACCCACATGAGGCCACAGGAGCTCTGCGTGCTTCGTTGGAAAAGCGCACAAACGCGCTTTGGCACTCAGTACTCGCCTCACAGAGACCGGTTTGCATTCAAACCTTCGAGGCCGCGCAGTGCATTGCTGTGAGTCTCTTCGAGCCAAGTTTAGGGAGCTGGGGTGCAGTGTGTGTTCATCGTGCTTGGTAAAATAGGACTTCCAATGTGGAATTGCTGGACGATCCTGGTTGGAATTCCTCATGAATTCCCTGCTGGAATTGGTTGAAATTCCAAACTGGGAATCTTGAATTTGCCTTCATATCATTGCATGCTCTGCCCACACTGCACTCTAGCTGCCCGAACTTGGCTCCGAGAAGCTCACAAGCAGTAGTGTGTACAGCCTTATCGGTTTGGTAACAGGGGTCTGTGAGGCGGGACGAACTGATGAAGCGCCTCGGTGCGCTCTGCTTGTTGCTATCCAGTACGCCGACCTCCTGCTTGAAGGGGGGGGGTGGAGCATGATCTGTCGGCCCCCCGGATTCCCATCTTGGAAAATATTCCATAAACAGCTGGCCCCACAACCCACTTTTTGGGTTGCCAAAGTCACCCCGTGCCAACATGCTATTAATAGCTGACATCGCATGACTCGGATTGTACGATGTACGCTTCGTCGTAGACCCACTCGACTAAGTTGAGTTGAGTCGTTTGCATCATCGAGGAGCGGGGTGCTGCATCCTCACTTACACTCATCCCGTCCGTCTTGCCCCCATCGCGGAAAGCTCATTGAAGACATCAATCAAGACCGCTAAACACTGCTCTTGCCGTAAACTTTGCGGCGCAACTACTGCTGCTAATCGTTCTGGTGTCTCCCACGCTCCTTTACCGAGTTGCGTGCCCCCCCCCACAAGGCAGCAGTGGCTCACGACTGACTAGCTTTGGGCACCACAACGAGCAGTGATCACGACTGACTGCTGCCGCTTTGTTTTACACCCGTACGATACCCAACGTGCGGCTGGCTTGCTACAGGTGGTGGTCGTGGATGACTTGAGCAACGCAGTAGAGGAATCGCTCAACAGGGTGCGAGAGCTCACCAAATGCGACGATGACCAGCTAGTGTTCCGCAAGGTGAATGGGCAGGGAGGGGGGCTGACGGCACGGCAGTAGCAGTCTTTTCAGGGGTTGGAGTGCTACGCTGGTACTAGCATGCCTCCATGGCGTTCGCCTACTTTCGATGTCAGATCGCGTGGGCACCTTCTCACGCGGCATTTTGATGGTACACACAAGATGACTGACACCGAGCGAGCTCCTCCAGCGAAGGATGCGATGTTCTTTGTTCTCGACTGCTGCTGCAAAGAAGAACGACTAGATTACTCCGTTGTTGTTGTTTGGAGGCGGGATACAATGGTTCATTGGAGGCGTGATACAATGCTTCAACTAGCATCGAGTATCGCGCAGCAACAACTAACGACAACGTTGTTGGTGTCGGGGCAATTGGAGGTGAACCTGCTGGATCGACCAGCGCTGGAGAGCGTGTTCGAAGATTTCGAGTTCGACTCCTGCGTGCACTTTGCCGGGCTAAAGGCTGTTGGAGAGAGCGTCGCCAAGCCACTCCTATACTACAGGTGTGATACATGTTCACACACACACAAGTCAACCCTCTGACCTCTGACACTAGCCACGCCTTTCTAGAGCAGGTGTGCAAAACGCATCCACTTCAGGTGCGGTTCGACTCCCTGCTACTTCTACCCACACACCTTACTGGTGCATGCTTGCCAAAACGCATCTACTACACGTACAAATCGACCCCTACGACTTCTACCCACTAGCACACCCAACGGCCACCGCCGCCCATCTACCCTGCCTCAGCTCGTCAAGCCGATGTCCTACCCGTACGTACCCTTCCCTCCAGGAACAACATCGAGGGCACGCTTAACCTCGTGGAGTGTATGCAGAAGCAGCCGGGGTGCCGCAAGCTTGTCTTCTCTTCTTCGGCGACGGTGTATGGGGAGCCGGACAAGCTCCCTCTCGATGAGAGCAGCAGCGTTGGCGTGGGCATCACCAACCCATATGGTGCGAGTGCGTGCGTGGGAGTCGTCTCTTCTCGGTGCCTTGTTTTTTGTCTTGGTTTTCTTGATGGGGTTGTCCCTTGAGGGTCTGATATATATTATAGAGTTTGTGCGTCACAACTGCAGTAGTACTTCTCACAGCATGCTTTTGAGGCTGGCTATTCGTGGGCACTAGAGACAACCATTGCCATTCGCTTCCCCATATTTCCTACCACGAATGCGTAGGAACGGCAAGATCACTTTTTTGTTAGAGCTGGCTAGTCGCGACCTCCTCCCCACTCCCGTCGCCCACCCATCCATTCATACGCATCCGCGTGCCTCGATCCGTTGTGGATAATCCAAACGGCTATATTATATTATTGGTCTCGGGCGCAAAGTAGATTGGCGTGTTCCGGGAGGGTGACTTTGTTTGGATGTTTCACCTTAGTTTTTTCTCAGGACATGTTCCCACGCTTGACCGCAGTCACCCATTCCCTCGTACCCCCTACTGAAGTATTCCTCCACACCGACCCCCTCCTACAGGGAGAACCAAGTACATGATTGAGGAAATCCTGAGGGACATGTCAAAGTCAGATGCATCGTGGAATATCCTGCTGTTGCGGTACTTCAACCCCATCGGAGCGCACGAGAGCGGTAGGATGGGAGAGGACCCGGAAGGCATCCCGAATAACCTCATGCCCTTCGTGGCTCAGGTATGCATACCCGCAACAAGAATGTTGTTCTTGTTGTCGTTGTCGTTGTCGTTGTCGTTGTCGTTGTCTTCACATTACAACCGTTCCGGTGTCCGCCCAGTACCTTCTAATACCCGTATTGGTTCAGCTGACGCGGACGCAATCCGTGGTCACATTCAAGATGTCAACGATGTGTACAGTAGCCACAGAGAATCGATGCGGCTTTGCTTCCTTACGTACAGCCAGTAAGATTCCAAAGGAACATCGAGGCCGGTCAGATTCCCCGAGGGAGAGAGTGCCCGCGTGCTACGCCGATCTGGATGCTGTTGGTACCCCCGGGGTCATAGCGTTACCCGAGAGCAAAAAAGTGGGCTTGTTTTCGAGCGCCTTTTCGTCGCCACCACCCACGTACAACGTGAAGTGCTCTACACGCCCTCAACAGCTGTAGCAGCGCATAAGCCGTCGTTTGAGTCATCAGTCGTTAACTCATCCATCTGTCTAGACCAACCCTATGATGACTCGCTGTCGTTGCCTCCGCAGTCTTAAGTTCATTCCTGCGCGTCCACCAAACTATCCCTTTTGATAACTCGCTGTGGTCGACTCAGCCGTCGTCAGTTGATCCGAACCATATCTGCGATAAATCGCTTTCGTGCTCACTACCCCCATCCCCCCCCCGGGGTATGCATAGGTGTGCGTGGGGAGGAGGGAGTTTCTGAGTGTGTTCGGGGACGACTACGGGACCCCCGACGGGACTGGAGTTAGGGATTACATCCACGTCATGGATCTGGCAGAGGGGCACGTGGCTGCCGTCAAAAAGGTACCTACAGCCAACCGCGATACTACAGTCAGTGCAAAGGGTAGCTGTGACTGGTGCTACGGGGTGCACTATTGGGGAACCCTCTTACAATTTTGTGATGAAGAGTTAGCCCGGCTTCGGTGATCTTTGGACGAGCGAGGACGCGGCCAACGGAATTACGTCGATTGTGTCTCTCTCCCTACCCAAAAGTGTAACATGATCGAGGTGACACCCCTACCGCTGTCGCAAGTGTGCTGCTGCTGTTGCTGTCAAGCAGGCGCTTGTTGTTCGCTGTTGCCCACAACCAGGGGTAGATGCTTTGGAGAAACTAGTGGTGGTGCTGTCCTCAAGCAGTTGGTTGCTGCGACCCAGGGCCGGATGCGATGTTGATGCTTGGAAAAAATTTGTGCTGTCCTCAAGTAGCTAGTTGCTGCCGACAGGGTCGCCTAGGAAAATGTTTGTTGACGACGGTGCCCCCCCCCCCCCCCCCCCCCCCCCCCCCCCCCCCCCCCCCCCCCCCCCCCCCCCCCCCCCCC